GGACTTGGCAGTGATAGGTTAACGGTTGGACTCGATGATCTTAAGGGTCTTTTCCAACCTTGACGATTCTATGATTCTATGATTCTATGATACGTGACTTGAAGTTATTCAGAAGCTTCAGATGCCTCCGGACAGGCCAAAGATGTATCTAAGAGCTGCCTTGTCCATAATGTAAAATAAGCTGTTACCATGACAAAATAACTCAAGACTGATGAAGTGAGTCACTTTTTCTGACCAGTGAGCATAGAAAGCTCCTCTTTGCTCAGAAATTAAATAGGAGACTTTTAAAATGTTTTAGAGTTTGAAGATGAGTTTATACAAGTCATGCTAATAACACTTATTCTAAGATGCTGTTGCTGATAATTGTTACTCTTATCCTTCTACTAGCTGGCAGCCAGAAGAACATTGCCTGAGAGGGATCTGACAGTCTGATCCCACATCCAATCTACAAATTTGTCTTAAAAATTTGTTTTTTAATATTCTCAGCTGATGTAAACTGGCATTCTTCAGTCCTCACTGATATTAATAGAGCCAGATCAATTTGCAGCTGCTTAGCACCTGGCCTGAAGATTTTTATTTTTTAATCAGAAAGAAAGCCCCATTTATCCAGGGATCTCACTTTGGGACAGCAATACCTTCCACAGATGTGTTTGCTCAGATTTCCATCAGGAGTCTCTGCCCCAGATATTATATTTGCATAACAATCATAATACAGTCATATGCCTCATATAGCAGGACACAGCAAACAAGTGGGTGAGGAGAGCCGAGTTGGTTCTTTAAGCTATATCATATCATATATTGATTTAAAGAGGCATTTTTGCTTGCATTCAGTTTATTAGTTTAACAGTTTCTAGTTTAGCCTCATTCTGTTTTAATTTAAATCATCAAGGCTTTACGCCTGGGAGCAAGCAAAGGGCAGTCTGAAGGTTTTAGCAGCTCTGGGACCAAAAGGAATGTGACTGTAAAACGCACTGTTCTTCTTCTACTTTTCTATCACTTGGCTATTTTTATTTTAGAGGAAAAGAAAACCTCAACAGAAACAGATGAAAGATTGGGAGGTTTCAGATTTATAGCACACTGAACAGAAAGAGAAGGCGATTTAATGTGGTTTTTATTTTCGTTTTGTTGTCTTGTTTGGTTTCCTTTGCTGAGCTGATGGTAAGTGAATGTAAAGAGCACCATTGTTTAACACTGGCCTTGCTCTGAAATAGCTTTATGAGAATGACAAATTTATGGTGTGAAACTGGAGGAATACAGAGGAGTGTTAAACCAAGAGGAAGGACTAACTGATACCCTGAAAATCTGTGAATGGACTTATGATTCTACACTACTGATAACTGTGTGTGTTAGCACCGAGCTTTGCATTCTGCTGAACATGTGCCTTCCTCTCCCCCAGTGTAGCCCACCTCACTGAAAAAAATAAGGGTTTTCATCTGATACACTTCTTGAGGACAAGAAAAAGCAGAGAATATTTATTCTCCTTAACCTAGCAATGCCTTTTGGTGACTGACCTAAATTTTGTGTACCTGTGGGGCTAGCGAGTGAGGAGGCGGCATTCACTGCCCAGGGAGAAAGGGATTAGGGAACAGGAAATTTGCTGAATATATGAATTTATGGTGCGCTCTGCACTTTTGCATGTTTAAATGTGAAGTGCAAGCCGCAAAACCAGGATTTATGAATCTCAGCCTAAATGACTGTGGAAATCTTCAACACTCTTTACAGGAGAGTCTACACTTGAAATATTAATATTGTCGTTTCTTCGGTGAAAACATACTAGTGATGATAAACATCAGTCAGTACACACTGCAATTTTAGTAAGCTGAAACACCATGATGAGTAACGCTGCAATAAGTGTTCCATGATCTGTTTTCCTCCTGAAAATTTTGGGGCCACATTGTCAATTTATCTGCTTGCCTAACCTCGATAGTTTTGTGCTTTGCTGTACAGAGGCAAGCTAGTGTACTGCAGATATTGTGTTACATAATGTAATTTTATGGAAATAGATAGGCAACAGCAAAGTTCATTTATTTGTGAGTGTGCCTTCCTGGTCTCCTTCAGTAAAGCGTAATAAACATGCATGTGCAATGAACAGAGTGCACCATGAAGCCAAAAAAGAATCCATAGAATACATGTTGGTTTTCCTTACTGTTTTTCCAAAGATTTATTTTATGCAGGTAAAAGATGAGTACATTTACCTTAATGACTGCACCTGCATAAAATCATTCTTTGCTATCATGTGCCATTTTGCATAATTATAGCAGTTAGTACATCTAGTCCAGACTGCAAATGAATATGTTCGCAACAGAAAACGCAGCCTGTATTTGTTAAACAGCTGGGAGGGAGGGGCAGGAGGAAGAGACTTGTTAATAAAAATAATAGTAAGGATTTTTTCCTTTCTTCTCTCTTTAGCAAAAAATAAGAGCAGAATAACTAATTTCCCAGTATTCATAAAGATTTATCTCATACATACAATATAAAACTCATATACATACAATATAAAACATACAATATAAACCAAGATTTAAATGTAGGTATTGAGCTATCTCCTTCTCAGATGGACACATGCAAAAGAAAGAAGACGCTCTTTGGGATGTGCACGTAGGGCAGAACAATAGCAGGTCATCTAGTCCAGCCCTCGCTGACGTTTCAACATCTGCTTCAGCAACATACTACATGCTATAAGACCAAACCAAGGTTCTCTTCTACCTTTCACGAAGCTGTAATCTATTAAGCCATTTGGCCATGAGAAGGTTTAGGTGCGTACCTGTGCTTTAATCCCCCTTACCTACAGGAATGGTCATTCCATGGATTTTGTCTGCCCAGCCGGCGTAATACCTCAGGGTTTTTATGACTCCCTGAAGATCTACGTAGAAAGCTTGCAAGAAAGGTTTGCCACTGTTCAGTGATTCCATAGTCTAGAGGACAAGAAAAAGTTAAGAGATATAAACACAGCAGCAGTTTTAGTCTATTGTACTTAAGTATTCACTGTCTTAACAGCTCTTCAATCATGACAGATTTTAATGAAGACCAACCAGTTACGCCTTGGCATAGTCTTAACCCACAAGGTTCAGAACAACTATCTGATCCCCTTTGTTACTTCTTTTTGCAAATGTGAACAAAACCTATTTTCCTTAAAAAAAAATCTAGTTCCTTCTGGAGTATTCTGGAATGACTATGATTTTAAGAACGTGTGCGTGTGTGTGCATTTGTGTGTCTGTCTTGTGGGTTTGTGTGTGTATCCACATGCATGTACATGTGCCTGTGTGTGTTTTGGACCTGAAAGCCACTGTGTTTGGTCCAGATATATAAATGCTGAATTGCTTTAATCGGGAGCCAAGATAAAAATGCCTGTCAAACTAGGTTCTGTTATGTTAATGATAACAGCTGAGAAGGGGCTCCTTGTAACCCCATATTAATGATCTGAATCCATAAAGAGAAGAATGGACATATCCCTCTTTGTATAATTGATGTGAATATAAAAATTTCTCTATATGGCTGCCAAGACTCCTGCTGAGGTCTGAGATATCTATACTGTACAGCCAGTGTATTTATTGCCATCAAATAAACAAACTCTCCTCTAGGGAAGCTCATAAATTAACAAGCTAATGTCCTTATTTTTAAGTTAATATTCCTATTTTTAAAAGTATCTTATAAGCTATCCTCTTAGGGGTTCCTAAGACCATTTAGCAAAAAGAATCCAATAAAATATCCTAAGATGTTGAGTAGCTTAACTCATTCTCAATAGCTGTCTAATAGAAATCGTTAAGAATGGGCAAAGGACGCCCATGTGTAACACACCAACCATCAAATGAGTTTCTATAGAGAAGAATGGAGGCCTAATTCTGCACTGACTTATATCCCCAAGAGCAATTAATGGCATTGCCTGCAGTGCAATTCAGTAAAGAACTTGGCTCCAGAAATACAAATCGAATGACAGGCAGAGTAAACTTGATTTGCTGCGCACTTCCTTCTCCCTGTGGCGATTTTACAGTATACACTGGTGGTAAGATGATTTAAGTGTTGACAAAGCTGGAATTAAGATGTTCACCAGCTTAGTTTAAAGCACTTGACATGCGGAAAACAACATTAACAATGCCACCGTTTAGATGGCTTCATATGTGAGCGAAATAGTGCAATACCCAGAATTCATGTTACCAGTCGAGTGTCAGTAAGCATTTCACCTGCCATTTCATTAATGTCTGCACAAATCACTTCACTCAGTCTTCCATTTTTTATTTTAGAAAAGTTACAGGTGTGCATAACAGGTATACATGTGTGTGCACACCCGTTCATTTGTCTGATGTCCAATTTAAAGCTCATTTAAGTCAATTGGAAGATTTGTTGACTTTATGAGCTTTGGATCAGGTCTTAAGTAGACAGCCATCTTAGCCATCAAGCTGAGTGTAGTTTTCAAATATAATTCATATTAACACATTTGGGAACTAATTTGCTCTCAGAATGTAAAACTGACAGGTGATTTGACTGTTGATTTTCATGTGCCACTTACAGCGAGAATTGCCCTGTCTCTTTCGACCAAGTCTGCTAGCTTATCCAAAAGATGGCCTCTTTCCGATGCATCCATTCTCCTCCACACTGAACCTAGAGAAAAGGCAAGGCGAGCTGCCCTCACTGCTTTGTCCGTATCAACCTGTCAAGAAGGAAGAAAAAAAACAAAGGCACTGAGGTAAATAACAGTATCAGGCTTATGAAATTTGCTGTTGTACAACCTTAGTCACATGATGGGTTTTGGAACTGTGATAAATAAAAGGACTGTCCAACAGTGCTATTCTGGACCTGTTGCTTTGATCTATTTAGACATTTCTAGCCATTCACGGGATGCATTACCTTGTCAGCTTCCTGGATCTCACAGATCTGCTCTCCTGTTGCTGGATTATATACTGGGAATATTCTCCCACTTTCAGAATTTTGCCACTCATTATTGATGAAAATCTAGAAAAGGAAGAAAAGTCATCAGTCCTCCTGCATGAACAAACAGTAAGGTATATAATAACAAATTCCTGGGAAAGGCTGCAGATTCTAATACAAAAGAGTTGAAACTTATTTATGCCTGTGAAAATTACAGTTTTCAAGAGTTCAAGCAAAGGGTCAGCCCCTGATGTCTTTCTGTATTCTGTGGCAGTGTTACTATAGAAGCAACGTCAAACTCTAAATAACTTGGTTGACATTCAAAAACTGTAACAAATAAACGAAAAAAAAGGAAAAACCTGTATCAGAGAAAAAGCCTTGAAGCTGCTGGAGACAAGACAAGGATTTGGAGTAATCATTCAATTCAGTAAGTAAACATTTGGTCACTGATACAACCCAGTCAAGGCTGAATAATCTCAAACATCACAGTTCTTCAGTACACAGTCAGTTGATTATGGCTGCAGTGATGGCTTGCAGCACAGAATTAACTTGCTTATCTGCTTGGAACAATAGAAATTGTTAAATTCTCTCAGTGTTGACATCATTTTAATTGTCATGGGCAAACCAAATTTGAATTTTAATGGTGCTGACAATAGCTGTCTTGCGAGAGGTAATGACAGATGAGTTTATTTAAAGTAGATTTTTACTGGTAGCTGCATACATGCCAGTTATTTTCTACTAAATGACTTTCAAGAACAGGATGCAATTATTTATCAGCAAATATGACATAAGTCACTCTAGGAAAATGACCGAGTGAAAGGTTTTCCAGGTATTCAGATGCTTTCTGTCCTGAAATCTTTCTAAGAACAAGTGTTCAAAAAGTCCAGGCACCATATGAGTTCCTTGGAGATCAGGTATCAATGTTCTTTCATTGTATTCCATGAAATACAACTTTAAATGTGTAAGGGGATGTTCTGGCTGCATTGAAATCAATGGGAATTTTACCACTGACTTCATTGGAGGCAGGAGTTCACCCCCCAATAGAAGGAATGTTCACCACCCTTTTTTGCATGAGGGGTTACATTGTGTTTATTGAGACAGGGACCTTTCTCTGGTTAAAGCAAAGCCAAGCCCCGTACCCCACACAGATCCTACAACTGTGGATGAGTAGAAAGCCGAGGGACCCTTTGAAAGATTCAGGAGTCAGTTCCAATCAGAGACAGTCAGGTAGCAGAAACTGGCCTAGATCATGGCTATGGAACAAGAATGAATGATCCATTAAGTATTGGTCCCATTTCCTCACAGAACCACCACAGACGCTGGGACAAAAACCTGTCCGACTGATGAGGCAGACTAAACATCACAAACGACTTGTCCAGAGTAGTACATTGCCACCTCTTTAATCTTGCACTTTCTGCTCTCTTACTACCACGCAATAAAGAAGCTGTCACCTTTGTACTGATACATGGCTCAGGTCAGCCAGATGAGCTCAGGGAGACGATGGAAGACAGTTCATCTGTAAGGACTTTGCTTAAATGGTGTCAGGTTTTTGGTTCCTTTTTGTTTGTTTTCTTTATAGCAAAATTTGATGTGGCAAAAACCAGGACAAAAAAATTACATATTTTTCATGTGGAAATGAATGTAACGTAATACCCGTCCCTTCCAGTCAAAGAATAGTATGGTATGATTACAGATCAGCTGCTGATTTTTTAGGTTTGGAATAGTACAATGAGGATAGCCACACCAGCCTGCCAAAACTTACTCTAACTTAAGTGTTTACAACTTGTCTGATGGCAAAAAAAAAGCATCAGCATCAAAATGCTGGGTGTTTAAGGAAGGAGGATCACCAAAGCTTTAACATATCTGTAAGGAAGGAAGGAAGGAAACAAGTAGAGTGCTAGTCATAAATCGATAAGAAGAAACTGAGCTGGGAAAAAAACCCAAGACTATTCTAGCCAAAAAAGCAGCCAAGAGAAAATACAGTCAGAAAGTTCAAGATGAACAGTTGCAATGCCAAAGAGTATAAAGTGTCCGTAAAAGAAAAGAACATGGTGAGGACACCGATGCGCCTGTGCATTTTAAAGAAAGTAAAGAAATTGCACACTCATTTGCACATGAAGGCAATGATACATCTGTAGAGTTTTCTGTTACCAGGGATGAGCTTGCTCAACCTATTCTCCAAGCCAAATGGAAGCCATGTAGCTATGTTCTTCTCAGCAGGGCTTATTAGCTCAGGCTCAGTGCCACACTAACTGCAGTGACATAGCTTCTGGTTCAGAGCTGACTCATGTCCGGCTGACTCAGGCCATGGGCAGAAGGAACCTGTGCCTGCCTGCAAAAGACCCTGGCAATACAACAACTGTGCATAGCAACCAACAATTACACGTGCTTTTGCTTTTATGGATGTGTTTCCATTGTGTTTCCTCATCTTCCCTGTGCCTCTAGCCTCAGCCACTTCGCTGTGTGCCCTTCCACCCATTTCAGAGTCTGTCCTTTCTTTGCTTTCCCCATCTTTTTGTTTTGGTTTTCAGAGGTAGCTGAATCCAGGCCCTACCACACCATTACCCATCTATCACTTTCTTTGCACACTGTATTTATCTTGAACCTGTTCATGGCCGTGGACTGTAAGCTCCTCAGACCGTGGGTGGTGTCTTCCTGCTCAGTGGTTACACTGCTTTGCAAACCAAAGTATTGGCCCCGTTAGGACACTTTGGAGCCAACCCAGCCAAAATAAGATAATGAAAGAATCACCAGTGTGATCTCTAGCGACTAACACCGTAAGCCAAAATCCTCCAGTGTATCATTGTCACTTTTTAGACTGTAAGTGAAACAAAGAAACTCTGAGATCTGTGACCTGTGTGGAAGAAGCCTTTTACTGTCATTCTTTCCATTGAGTTCAGTGGAGTTAACTCCATGCCCAGAGTGTGTGGGGGTGTGCTGAGGAGGGAGGGGAAGGGAGAAAAGCTTGCAGCTTCGGGAACAGATGGCCAAAGGGGATGTAAGGATGTTTGTTTAAGGTTACAGTATGTACATAAACACATAGGTTCCTCGTGTGATCTGTCTTGAAAGAATAAAACAGTTAGGTTGAGTACAAGAACCTGAGAAGTGGAGGCAACTGCAATTCAGTACTCTTCCCTTACAGGAGTGGTCTGTTCTGTTTTAAAAAGATTGAAAAAATGTTAACTACATTCTGCTGGGATGAACACCTATCATCAGGTTTGCTAGTACACAGGACACATATTTGTTGTTAAAATACGTTTCACTATAGCAGTAAGAAATAGTGCCTTGAAATTACAAGAGTGTTGCAATTCAAGTTGACTGGAACTATAAGGTGTATTATTTTTATGGAATGCTCCATTTATCCCACAGATTTAGAAGAAGAACAGTGATAGCAAATATTTCGGATAGGACATGGGAAGGATCTATTTGGCATAAAGTTAGAGTTGAAGGCAAGAGAAATTGCTACTGTTAATGGTTAATGTTAGTTTCTTCCTGTTCCACTTTCTATAAACAAGGTATTGCCTATACAAGCTCATTACTGTAAACTGAGCACATTTAAATTGGCAGTAAAATCAGAGTATTTACTCTAGTGCACAAATAAAGTACCTAGTCCCATGTTTTGGAACAGTTTCAAGTCTTGAAATGCAGCAGCTGGCGGCTTTACAAGCAAAACCTTACACTTAAATAATTCACTTTTGAAAGTTTTAGGTGTTCTGTGTCAGGTAGTACCATTCAGCAGATATTCCTACCACCAAGACGCAGATTCTTTTGCAATAAATTTGCATTCACAGGGGCTTTTATAACTCTTCCAGCACTACTGACTCCAATGGCTGTTGATTAAACGTATATATCCTGTACATTTAATCTGACTTTCATTATGGCCACTTCGTAAAAATGCCATGAAATGGACAAGCGATGACACATTGCAAGAACAAGGAATCCCTGCAAAGCCTCAAACTGGGTTTTTTTCTGCCTTATTTATAGTGACCATGGTAAAGGCTAACTCTAAATCAGGGAGAATATTTGACAGCAAATGTTCCTATCTATGGATTATATATAACCCATCCTAAATGCCAGATGAAAAAGGGGTAACCCTAGAAAAAAAGAAGGGCTTGCTTCCATGTAAATCATGCTACAAATTGGACAACACCCAGTGAGTTCATTGTTCAACCTCAATTGTGAAGGCTATTCACATTTACTATTCCCCTGGAATCAATGTTAATTAAGGCTGACTGGGGCTATAAATCAGCCTTTGGTTTTTACAACTTAATTCAGCATTAAGCATATATATGTAAATAAAAGGTAACTGATTAACCACTTGAGTTTTCCAGGAGTTACTGAGGTAATTTGTTTTTGTTTGAGTCCTAGTGTTACCTTTTGTGATTTGCAGCAAGGAAAAGAAAAAGTATATAGTATGTCATGTATTTGCTATGTGGTATTGTGAGTAGTTAAATAATCGAAAGGGAAGAAGGGAACACTTGAAAAATTTTGGAATACGTGAACATTTAGTTTGCCACCTACTCTCAGTAGAGCCAATAACAGCGGTATTGTCAGAGCAGGAAGAGAAGCGGCAAACCTTCCTGTTTTGCTTAGGTGTCCCTGCCAGTACAGTGATTTGGCCAAGAACAAACCCAACAGGCAAAACAGACAATGCCTCTTCTAAGTGAGGAATCTGGCGGTAGTTGGGGTACAGTGGTCTAAGGAGGAAACGAAACACGATTTGGTCACCAGCAATGCTGCCTCAGGCAACACGCAGAACAGGGCAGCAGCTGAGGTAGCGGGTGGGTGAGGGGGGTGCGTGTGGGATGGGGAAGTTTTGAACAGGCCTTACAGTGTAATAGGTGTGGTTGGAAGCTCCTGGTTGCCCCCGTGAACATGCCCTTGGAGTGTCATCATTCTCCTGAGATCTCATTGTAAAGGTCTCGTGATAATTTCTGTTCCTTTCCAAATGAAAGATGGAGAGAGCGTGGCATTTTGCTAAAAGAACAGGCACACCCCTCCTGGTACTGACAATAACCTTTTCCCCACACACGCACATGTTCTTATAGACCTTTTGATAGAACTTTGCAAGATGATGGTCCCAC